AAGGAAAAAGTATGAGATAGGAGATGGACGAAATGGCGTAAGGAAGGCGTGGTGGTGCACTATTTATACACTCACGAGACGAGAGAAAACGGGCAGAGTAATTGTTTACTGATAAACCAAGTAAAGAAAATGAAGTTACGAGTTACTATTTTGATTATGAATTTTCCTCGGAGTTTGGGTACTGACAGTCGCACGTTGCGGACATCAATGAAGACGCCGGAGAGAGGCGGTCAAGCCAACAGCGAAGAGACGATGCACAGGAGATACGGAGTTGGCGGGTCGCCCATCTCCCACACCCTTCAGCCATTGCTTTTTCCGTATCCGGTCGATTAGAACGATGAATCCTATCCTTGCCGCCGAGAAGAAAAGGCGGATTGTTAGGAGAGGGATCGCAGTCCATTATTATAATTCACGCTGCCCGTTTTTGTCAGCTTCGTGCAGGTAATACTGGGCATCTATTTTTCAGCTTTGTCTGCCGGAGAGAAGTGCCTGAATGGATGGGAATTCCCAGACGAGCTGTGTCGTTTTCTACTGAAGTTGATTGGCGTTCTGTCTCATTACAAATGTAAAAGACAGATTGTAATATAGAATACATGTTTGTTTGGATCGCTGGGACAAGTAAATCCGTGGATGCTTTCCATCGCAAGTTATCACAAGTCACAGGGATGATCATGCGGAATAATCGAGAGTTTAAATCACAAAATCATATTACACATATTAAATGGAGAGTTTTAAGCTCTCCATTTAGACAAAGATCATGATTTTTTATGTGATTGAGTTCGTTAATGAAACAAAATAATCAAGATTTAGAAAGCGTTTAATTATTGATTCGGTGCACGAAATCCACAGGCTATCGGATTGGATGCCTTCTGTAACCTTTCGTACTAAAATTTGTCTGTAATCGGATACATACACCAATTCTAAATTTTCATATGTGTCTGTTTGATCATCAATATATTAGGTTTATTTTTTGAATAAAAATAAAAAAGTATAAAATATGATGTCAGCAGAACAGAGGGTCTGCCTTGATGCAGTGTATGAAGAAATTCAAATCAAATCAAATCAAATTAATTATCATTTGGGAACTTAACCAAAAGAAGCCAAATCAAGCGAACGTAAGATATTATGATTTGGTCTGATTTATATAGTAGAAGAATAAAGTCGAAAGGTTGGGTTTTGATAAAAAAAGAAAGAAAAAATGGAACGCAGGTTGTCGCAGGACAGCAATTACAGAGTTCCCGCAAACCTAGTCGGTACGGGCAAAAGCTAATTGAAGTCCGTGCAGGAACCCAACCGAGCCACGTCCACATCACGTCGCCGGCGGGGACGTGTCCGTGCCTTGGCCACCACGGAAGCGTGGCGGTGCTGGGGGTCCGCCATCCCCAGTAAGTGGTGGTCTCAAGGAAGGATGGATGGATGGATGGATGGATGGAGGATGATGATGATGCGGTGGTCGCTGCACTGATCGCTCGCCCTTTTAATGCTCCCCTCTCTTTTCCTTTTTCTTTTCTCTCTCTCTCTCTCTCGTTGACACCGCTGAACAGTCTTGTAATGATGATTCGTATGGTTCTGCTACCCACTGACCACCATTTGTACGGACGCCAAGACCAGGAAATGCAGTAGAGAAAGCTACAAAGTTGTGTCCAGAGAGAGAGAGAGAGTGAGGGGCATCTGCCATCACTGTTCTTGAGCTCCTGCTCTGTTTGTGTCTGCTGCTGTACATAGTTTATCTGTCCATGAATAGTATTAACCATTGCCATCGATTCATCTGCGGGCATACCAAGTGGGTGCTTTTGTTCTTACGTTAGAACTGCATCTGGAACGGCAACTCCGGCAGAGAGCCGTGAGGAAGGAAGGTGGGTACTGTTCCCGAGTCCTTTCACCTGTTTCCCTTTGCTTTAACTGCACACCTGCTCTCCTCGGGACTCGTAAAATTCCGTGCCTTCAGCAGCATCAGCCCTTATTTTTTTCTTCTTCTTCTTCTTCGGCTTGCATGCAGTAAAAGACTTGGGAAAGGAGGGATAAAAGAAAGTATTCATTCATGTGCATGCATGCATGCATGCATAGGATGAAAAAGTACAGTGGACCAGGATTCATCAAACGCAATGGAGACCTGTCCTTCACGCTATATATGCTCAACGAAGAAAGCCTCAGCCACGACAATGCAGTGCGACGCAATGCAAATGAAGGATCATGAAGTTTCACCGAATTGTCATGTTCTCCCTCGCCAGTTTCTGGTGACACAGCATCAATACTTTTCTTCCGGGAGACAACCTCTCACGTCTCGCCGGTGAACCCAGCAATGGATTGGAAGGGAGGGCTCGGTTTGGGGTGGCGTGGCTTAGCGAGCAATGGCTTTTGTCGCCACCGCCCACGTTGCCTTCTATTAGAAATCCACTTGTCTCCTTTCCCCTAGTGTATTCTTTCGCAATCGCTCCGTCACATGCGAGGCATGGTCTCCAAGGCGTCACATGTACGTCCATGCCGGAGCCAACCAAAGAGGACAACGTATCTCTTCACCTCACCTGTCTCTTTCCGGTCTTACACATCATCTAATCCAATCTACTTGACACTGCTCATGCTTGCCAACTCCGCAAGCCTTCCTCCTTCAACCAACTCTACTACGTGGGAGTTGAACCTTTGTGGTCTGACACTGGTCCTTTCCCCAACCTAACACCGAACGAGAAACACGATGATGCATAGACCTAATGGATGAAGGAAAGAACAAGCAGGTGATATATCATTTAGCTCTTTGGAGATTAGGATGCCACGAGCTCCCCTCATCCACACGGCCTTGTATTCGATGGGACGGTCAGTGACATCAACGGGAATGGGAATCTGGAGCCAAGTATATGTCAGCTTCAATGGTCCGATGCCTTGAGTGAAGGGGCAATGGAGGATGGACTTGGGTAGAAGAAGCATAGTTGTTCAAGCAATTAAGAAGGATTAATTGTGATGGATCCCGTAACATCTTCCTAGGGGAAGAGTATATATAACCTTAATACTCGTGATAATGGTAGCCTGATCTACTGCTAATCACAACTTATTGCAACAAGGAAATATATTTATTCTTCTCGGCCATTGACTATAATTTTCTTTAGATATAAAACATCTTTTAACAATGCATGTTAGCTTAAACTATGATCGAGCACGTTGGTGTCAATCATCGTGACGATTCGATTGAGATGTTTTGTACAATTGTATAATCCACTGACGTGGGGCCCATAAGGTGGGTTTGGGGTCAATTAGCAATGAAATAGAAAGGGGTGGGATGCAATGAACAAATATAGCCTTCAATGGGGCTGCAATCTTATAGCGAGTGATCGCAGCCTCCATGCGAAATATCTGCGAAGCAGAGGATAAGAAGAGAGAGAGAGAGAAGATTGATGAGCGCAGGGGCCACATGAATTGAAGGGGATTGATGACCTGCTTCACCACGCGAAATCGTACATATCCATCTAATGCCTCTCACTGAGTGGTGCTTTTGCCTCCAAATGTCATCAAGATCTCTCAATCCGGCACTTGCCATGCTGTTCCTGCTCTCGATTGAGTTTGACTTCCTTTCCAGGCAAAGACAAGAAAGGTATACAAAGTATAGTGACTTCAGAATCAGGCAATATAAATCTACCCTACAATAATGAAAGTGCCATAATGGACTATCAATATAACAAACAATAAACAAAGGTACCGATTCCTTGGTAACCCAATAGTCAATCAATCTGTCATCTCGTCCAGCCTCATCACAACCACTGGATTGATTCATCGAGCGAGCAGACCAAATAAATATCGAAATACGCGATGAAGATAAATAATGATATGTGGTTTCCTATTCTTGGATAATCAAATCTTGGGTAGAAAATTGACTTCAAACTCTGTGGTTGGTCATTGCTGGTTATATGGTATATGCGTCACGTTGAATTATAATCTACGATAAGATCCAATCGGAAACACTGTCCAAAATTAGGCCTAACTTGCCGCCCAGACTAAGAACTGCATCTGGAAAAAAAATTCAACCTTCAATTTATACTATATATAATTTAGTCAAATATGCATACTATCGATCTTACGTTATATAAGAACAAACACAATATTGTCGTAATAGAATTAGCTGCTGGATCGGAATCTTATCATGCATGACTGTACTTCTTCTTGGAATTGATTGTGTATCTTATCCATTTTATTTTAAATATTTCGTTCACTGTGCTTATTCTTTGTCTTATTTCGTCTTCAAATTAGCTATGATGATAGCTTTTATGACATCCTTTTGACTAAAATAAGCTAATTTTATCTTAAATCGAATCCTGGTGGCATTTTCTTTATAGCGGTTAAATTTCTCTGATGATCTTTTGAGTTGATACGATAATTATGTTATTTACTTGCATATACATATCTGGAATAGTCTATTGCAACAAAGGGAAATTTTCTTTCTTGTCATGATTAAATAGATCATTAGATGAAGGAAAATTAGGCCCTACTTCAGAATGGAAATTTCTAGCTGGAAAGATCAAAATTTGATTCCAATCTCAAGTGGAATTATAATAAGGTTCGATTGGTCCTTCCGTAGTACCACATATTTGTTGTCTCGGTTGGAATTATCATACACTCATATATATATATATATACAT